AAATGAGAGTAATTGTTGTGTGTGTCGTTACTTTTTAAATAGATGAGGTGGAAGAACACGAGGAGCTGCCTCCACGTTAGGTTTCATGAATCTGTGGGGTTGCAGATGGCTCTAGTTTAAACACCAGAATGGGCTTGATTTATGGGGGAGTTTTGTGTGTTCTTGAGTTCATCTGATTGGAGTCCAAACAGCATTCAGGAGATACGACGTACAGCTGCAGCCAGGTGTTCGGTTACTTTTAAACTTCGTAGTTTTGGCTCACATTAAATCTCAGTGTCATCCAGCTGTGATCTAAAGATCTCTAATAAGGTGTTTCCTCTCTCCTCATGTCTCCTCCTGGTGTGGGGATGCAGTCAGAGGTGCTGGGATGTTCTCCAGATGTGAGATAATGCAAGCCAATCAGAGCCTCTGTACATGCTCCTCCTCTGAGTTTCTGCTGGAGCTCGGGTTTCTGCTAAAGCTGCTCGTCCTCCATGCTTTGTTTGTGAGAAACAGCCGACAGAAGCAGCAGCAGTTTGCAGGCTTACGAGTCTCTGAGGAGGTAGAGTAGAGGAAACCAGATGCTGTCTGTTCACATCTGACCTGAGGTTTCCAGTCCTGAGGCTTCCTTTATAAACACACACATGCAAACACACACACACCTCATGTCAAGGTTGGAATTTATAAGATAAAAAAACGCTTACAGAGCCCCTTTAGCGGAAACATTCAGACCAGCTGGCTCTCGAGTGCGTCTCTCCTCCCATAGACACACTCAATCTCCTCCGTGTTGGACTGCAGCTTGGAGTCCTCGTCTTGTTCTGCAACCTCTGTGACTTTGGCATAGCAGCACCCATGAACCAGTTCGCCAGCCTACTGCAGGTTTTAGCTAGAGTGCTGCAACTAAAAGGAGAGAATCCACATTCATGAGGTGCTTTGCATTTTTGGTTGAATGAATTGTGTCTCTTATGAGGTGGACTGTGGTTTTAAAACAAGTCTGTTCCAAATCACAGGTGCAGACAGTGTTATAAAATATTTTGTAGTGCAGGTACACTTTTAGTACGAGTTCTGTGTTCTCTTTCATAAACGTCCTCTCTGCGTGTTTGTCTGGACTTTCAGTTTGATCAGTTTGTGTAACTTTGATCAGGATGTTTGTTATTAGTCTGATGATCTCACAGTTTCCTCAGCTGTGACCTCTCGGACCCCCTCAGACCTCTCAGATCAGCTCTGTCAGCCCACAGACATTCAGCTTCATCGCACTCTTTGGTTTCTGAGTGTGAACTAGTCTGAACCCATCTTGACTTTTAACTACACAGAGAACTTGTGAAAGTGTGGATTTTTAAAATTGTGACCTCATACAGACAGCTTTAGAAAATGTGACAGAAAACATACATTTTTAACTGTATTTTCATAAGCTTTATAGCTTTATCTACCCAATATATGGATGTTCATGCTACACAAAAACGATTGTTTTTTACAATCTACTATAGACATTTATATATTTATTTATTCATTTATTTTTTGCAGTGTGCAATTAATATTCATTGCACACTGTCCATTTTCTTTCTGTTTGAGCCGGATTAAGTTTGCTCTCCTTGGTTATTAATGAGCAGTGAAAATGATCAATGGTTTGACTCTGTGAACTCTGTCAGACATTGTGTCATATAAAGAGGTTTCACTCTACAACACTTATTTGTTTCTGTAAGACCAAAAGCTCCTATTATCCTAACTAATATTTACTCAAGTATTGGGCAGATTACGTGGAGCCACAAGATGGCTCCATGTAATCTACGGTCTGACAGCCAGAGGTCAGTAATGGGTATGTAGGATCAGTCGATTGGTCAGCTGTGGGGTTATTTAGGTCAAGTGACTTGTGTTTGCTCCAATCTCATAGATGGCAAACTGGCTGAAGTGAACCCTCACTATCAAATAGGTTTGAATTTTCACAGTAAAGAAAGACCATTGAAATCCGCTTGTTAAGTGGATATGATTTGCCATTCGCTCTTTCTGGGTCCAAGCGCTCCTTCGGGTTTCAGAATCAAACAAGCACTTAAAAACAGTCCAAATTCTTCTAGCTCCAGTAAAATGATCTGTGCAAGTCTGCTTTTTAAAGACTGCCCTTAAATCTCCTCAAAGACCAGCTTGAATGATCCAGGAGCAAAGTGACATTATCCCAGCAGTTTGTATCCATTGGCAGGAAACTTCTCAACTTTTAATTCAACTGAAGACCTACGAGCAGTCCTTTAAAAGCACAAACTGTGATTAGCTAGGAGTGTTGGTAAGTCCAGCATGCTACGGAGGATTGAAAACGTTATGAAGGAGACTCACAACTGTAAATACGGATTCTACACTGTAAAAGTGAATTATTTAGCAATAAAGTCTTTGAAACTTATGACATGCTTATGATTGTTGTTCACTGTATCATAGGGAGAACATTGAGCCATTGCCCAAACTTTTGTATATGACTGTAAATACTCAGCTCAAGATTAACTCCCCCTTTATAAAAAAACAAACAAAACTCCATTAGGATATCTCAAAACTCCTGAAATATGATTGCACGCTGCTCTATTTAACAAATCAAATCTCACAAAGGCGTACGTACATCTTTTAATAGCTGACCTTAAATCTTTATCCAGAGGGATGACCAACTGAAAGCAGCTTGAAGTGGCTTAAAGATGAACATATTAACATGTGAAACTGTGCTGAAACCACGAGTGGAAGGCTAAACAGTGAAGGATGTAGTAAAATGGTTCCAGCTGTGCTCCTGCTTCCTCTGTTAGGGAGTCCTGTTTGGTTTCTGTTGACACGTCATCACACAGTGAGAAATTGTACTCTGGACTTGCAGAGGAGCAGAACATTTTATCTGACATGAGTAGGACTCTGTTCTAGCTGTAGTTTTCTTGGCACTGGTCTAGCATGATGTCACTGTTACAGAGATGTCCGTAACGCGTGGGCAGACATGTTTCCGTGTTCAGGAAAATGACGTGACTATACAGGCTGTATAAAAGTTGTTGACCTGAGATCAGCGTCTAACTGCTCTCTGGATGAAGAGCGCAAATCTTTGTGTGTTAATGAGCTGTTTGGACTTTTGGACTCTTTCTGCAGCAGCATATTTCTCTGATTACACACTGAGAACTGCAGAAGGTTGGAAAATGTTCTGCAGGACGAAAACAGTTTTCTTTCCTGCTGTTTGTGCTCACATCATTTCAGTCAGAATAAACCAGAACAGACTGGAAGAACACGCTGCAGGCGTACACAAACACATTTAACCTGTCCTGACGATTATGTGACCAGACTCTTCACAGCAGTTTTCCTCAGATACATTTTACTTCGTCTCTCAGGGGCCGCTCTTTTCATTCATTCAGATATAATGCTTATAACACATCAGAGTTTAATGGGAGGCGGTGCTGGTTATCTTGGTGATATGTTTGGCATGAAAGGACTCCGCATCGTTTGATGGGAATGAAATTTATCACTCACAGAGGGATGAACCCTGAAAATCAAGGTGTGACTGGCTAGTCCAGTTTGCCCAAATTTCATTGTAGCAACTCAAAAGCGGTTCTCAGTAGTTTGTATGCCTCCCCCCCCCTCCCCCCCTCCCCCACCTGCTTGTATGCATGCCTGACAGTGTTGGGCCATGCTCCTGATGAGATGAGATGGTGTCCTGGGTATCACTGAGCTCCTGGACAGTCTGAGTTGCAACTTGGCATAAGCCAAACATAAGTTTTGAGCGCAATCTATCGGATTTAGGTAAGGCAAGTGTGGGGGCCAGTCAGTAGTATCAAATCCTTCATCCTTCAGGAACTGCCTTCATACTCTCGCCACATGAGGCCGGGCATTGTTGTGCACCAGCGGGAACCCAGGGCCCACGGCACCAGTGTATCGCCTGACAACAGGTCCCAGGATTTCATCCTGATATCTAATGGCAGTCAGGGTGCTGTTGCTGAGCCCGTGGAGGTCTGTGCGTCACTCCATAGATATGCCTCTCAGACTATCACTGACCCTACATACTAATACATACGTGCTAAACAATGTTACAGGGAACATATTGTTCTCCACGGCTTCTCCATATGCTTTCACGGCTGTCACATGTGTTCACGGTGAAGCTGCTCTCATCTGTGACGAGCAGGACGCCAGTGGTGGACCTGCCAGTTCTGGTATTCTATGGCTAATGCCATATGGGCTAAGGGCCTTCTATGGCTTATAGAAGCTTATCCTACTGTATTTTTCCATGTGGATGTTAGTGAATGAGGCCTAGTTGTTGTATATTTATATATTATTTAACTTTTTGTTTTTCTACACTCTATTTTGGTTTTTTTTTAAATAATACTTTGTCTCAGTTTTTTGCCTGTGGGTGAAGCTCTCTGCTGTGGCCACCTGAAAAGGTTGTGCTGATCCTTTACTCTGTAGTCAGACTCTCTGATGTTGGTGTTTGTGTCCTCAGTGGGTCCCCTGCGAGTGGAGTTTAACATTCCTGTAAACCTGGAGCTGATAAAAAAGGAGAACCCCAACGTGCAGCCGGGCGGACGCTTCAAACCCAAAGACTGCGAGGCGCTGCAGAAAGTGGCCATCATCATCCCGTTCCGCAACCGAGAAGAGCACCTTAAGTACTGGCTGTACTATCTGCACCCGATCTTGCAACGGCAACAGCTCGACTACGGGATCTACGTCATCAACCAGGTACACTTGCGATGTGTGTTCATACATGAGAACAAAGAGACAATTAAAATCCTGTGTGTATAAGTTCCACTGTTTACTTGACAGGGTGGACTGTTTGCCTCTTTGCGTAAAAATGAAATGAGAGAGAGCATGTTTATCTAGAGTTTGGTTTCACAAATAGTAAAATAATACATCAGGTCTCCTGCCTGTGTGACGCCGGTGTTGGCATGAATGGCTCTTTAGCCTCACAACGCCAGATACATTCCTGGAATTCAAGCTTCAGCTTGTTGCTTACATGAAATAATCAGTTTGGAGACATTAAATACACTGTTGTGTCTGGGTGCTTCCTCCTCACTATCACTCCCCCTTACTGTGCGATGGCAGGAGTTTGTTTTGCAGTGTGCAGCTGTCAGTGATAAAAAGAAGTTTATCAAATGTGACTGATGGGGGTGTGTGCAGGGGGTTGATCTTGCTACTTCTGACCAGAAATACCAGTCAGTTAAGCTATTCATGTAGCTAACTATTGATTTACAACAGGAATAAACCATTTATAATAAGTCCTCTGTACAAAATCAAACTTTTTATTAATGCAGTAACTACCTTTAAAATTACTGTTGAGTATTAGATTAACAAGAAAAAGAAGTAACGAAAGCAAGCCATGGGGTTTAAAAATAAGATGATAATCTTTATTTATTTATTTTTTTGCCTCTTTTTGAACTGGACCCCATCTTATAACTAAAAAGGAGCAGTGGCTATCAGATGTAAAGCTCTTAAAGTTCCTCTTAGGGTGGAGAACAGTGGTTAAAAAAAGGCTTCAATCCTGGAACAATTAATGAAATACCTTTGAACTTCTCTGTCTACTCTTCAATCACATCATGATTGTTTAACATAAAAATCCACAGGTGGTTCACAGAGTATCTCACAGTAAGAACTCTAAACTTCTTTCTTACGCGAAGCTTCTTCAATCAGCAGAATTTACTGTGAATTCTTGGAAACTGGGAGTGTGATCACTAGTGCTATTGATGTTTGCAGGCCGCAGTGTCACATACTTTTGAGGATTCTGGAAACTGTGTGACTGAAAGACTGGTGGCTTTTGCTTAAGTACACAGAGAGGGTGTGTTCACTGTGTTTTGTGTTGTGCAGAAGGCTTATCAGCACAACACAAACTGGAGCAACACTAACAGCCTTAGTGGCTTTGGAGCTGAAATTCGAGTCTGATCAGTCACCCATCTCAAACAATTTTAGGTTTAGATTGGACTCTGGTTACTAGGAAGATTCATTGTATTGCAGTTACTCCCACCACTTATAGATTACCAGAGGAGTTATTTAACATCTCTCTTAGCAGGACTGAAGTAAATACGCTTAAATCTATTTTAAGCCCAACAAAACCCACTCAGGCAAATTATTATCAAATTAAACTATTGTTGTACAGTTTGATAAGCTGACAGATTCTGCTACTCCAAGATGTAGGTGATGATAATGCGTTTAACTAAACAAACGAATGTGTCTGTGTGACATCAAGCGTTGTGTTTGGATAGTAATGTCTTTTCTCAGCTTCTTAGATCCTGTTCCTGATAAATCCTACAAAGGGAAACGAAACTGAATTGAAATAAAAATTCAAAATTAATAACTCTCATCTGTGTTGATTATTTTTTGATTACTTGAATAAAAGGACAGTTTTTAGTTTTGGGGCTCAGAAGTCACCAGTGTTTCTGGATCTTTGCATAGTTGAAATGTTAAAATGTGTTTACACAGCATCCGGAGAGCTTGTGATATGCAGTAGAGGCCATCAATTAAAAACTTGTTAGAAATTTGTTATTGCTCCCAAATGTTGTGCCTCTGGGCGCTGCTTTCTGCTGTCTGTGTGGGAATAAGAACTTTGCGTATAGTTACAGTCTGCGTGCTTGGTCTGAGGATCTTTGCTGCTTGGTTTGATGAAAGCCAGCCACCAGGCCTCTGAGGACGGATAAGCAAGCTCGGGTGTTATTTACATGTAAATGAGCTGGTGCCCCACCTGCAGACAGAATCAGGGTCAGTTTACACCTACCCAGGTGAACCCAGGTGACCTAACGAATGAATATTCACTAAATACGTGGGAGTTTATTTGCAGAAAACTTAAATAACAGAGACGAGTAAACACGAGTAAACTAGCACCTGCTTTTCCAGTCAACAAAGACCTCAGTGTTTTGCCTTTCTATACCACGTAACTCTATTCAAATATCTTCTAATTTACCTGCAGTCACTCTGCATGTATCCAAACCTAATCCAAATGTTTCCCAGCCTCCATTCAAATATCTGCTGATTTACCTTCTCTATAGGTATATGCTAACGTAAACATACACAAAACTTAATTTAAGATAAATGCTAATATAACATCGGTCTGCACATAGGCCAGCAGGAGGCTGTCGCTGATGAAAATTTCACACAATTGAATGGAAGATGACAAACAATAGTTTTGTAATGTAATCATTTTAAATTGAAGGGTTTGAATCATAAATATTTAACACTCAGTAAATATATGTGGTGATAGTGACTGTTTACAAACATCATCTGGCACACGCAGCTGTTGTATGTAGTGTGTGTGTGTGTGTTGTTGTAACTGCATGGACCCCAGTGACTGAAGACTGAACGTCATAGTCAATCACCTGACTGATTTCTGAACTTTCTTCTTCTGCTTTGTTTCTCTGTGTGACTCACAGTTGTTGTTTTTCTCTTTCTTGTGTGTGTGTCCTTCCTCCTCCTCTTCCTCCTCACTGTGCTTATCTTGCTGCCCCTCCTCACCCCTCCAGCCTCCCCTCCCTTTGCATGTCAGGCCTTTCTGATCAATGGTTGTGGCCCTGGAGACGCTGAGGCTCTACCCCCGTTTGGTGTTGACTGAGGGGGTCGCACTGGTAATACAGGCTTCCTTCTTCTCTTGTTTTCTATCTGCTCCAACTTGTTTCTACTGTATTTGTTTCCTGTGAAGCTTTACTAACCTCTTTGTGGATCTTTTCATTCTGGCAACAGGAATTTTATCAGTTCCCTTCGGGCGCACTTCTTATTTTTTTGCATGATTACACTTGTTAAAGCACGCTACAGAGCTGCTGTGATGCAGATATCTGCAGCAGCTGCAGATCTCAACTTGCCTTCATGCTTCATGAAGTCACCTGAAGGATCTCTAGCTTTGTGTGCTTGTCAGCTGAAACACAACTCCTTTGTTGGGTTGATTTTGCCCTAAAAATAAATATGTTTAGTTTAGTCTTTTAAAAAGAACGCTTGTTTGGTTAGAGCATTAAAAACTACTTGGTTAAGATTAGTCACTAACAAGAACTCAGTTATGTTTAGGCCCTCCATACACCTTGGTCAGGTTTAGACTTTAGAAACTACCCATTAATTGGCTTCTGTACTTTTTGATGGAAAATCTGAAGATTTACGTTTATGTAGATGTACATCAACCTTCATCTTTAGGCTCCCTTCACACCTGCTCAGTGCTCACGTTTGTTGCGTAATCACCTGAGGTCTGTTTACTGCTCCCATAGAAACCTGAGTTATTATTAGCGCAGCAGCAGCAGGCATGAAGTTCTGAAGTTTCTCTCATCCATCCCACGTGGCTGCTCACAGCTCCTTTATTCATCATGAAGGACAACTGGACCAGGATCAGTGAAGGAGTGTTGGATTCACTGCTGGTCTGTTTGTGAACAATGGTCATGAGTACCATTCACAAACAGTTGGAGAATGGCTGCAGTAACAGCATTGTAAGATGGTGAAAGATGTACCCTTAGGTCCTGTCCTTGATTTAGAGATGGTGAGGTCTTCCTCACAGCCCATTGTTCATTCAGTGAGCTTGTTTCAGTTATTATGCAAATATACGGTTTATAATGTTGGGGAAACCCGCAGTCACCTGAGACACTTATGTTACACTTCAATGAGATACTTTTTACCCCCCCAAAAAAGGCAGAGGTACAGGGAGTGCAGAATTATTAGGCAAATGAGTATTTTGTCCACATCATCCTCTTCATGCATGTTGTCTTACTCCAAGCTGTATAGGCTCGAAAGC